CTGAAGTGGATGGATACGATGAGCGATTCCTCTAAGATGTGGCCACTGTCTAGCCGTCTCTGGCGTAGAGAATGTGGACTCGTCTACAGGGATGAATTATCTTGAGTAGGCGGTAGGCAGAGGAATCTGCTTGTCAGAATCATATCACGCACCAGCAGATTGCTGAATTTTCTGCAGTGGATAACCTTGTCCATTGCTGTCATGGTTGAGAGTTTCAACTTGGCAGGCTCTGACAAGGTGTTAACTTTCTCACAAGTGTGGTTTAGTACAAATATGGGTCAGACTGCGTATCTAACAGAGCATAAACTAGGTGCTCAGAACTGGCTCCTCTTTACTCGAGACCCAAACCGGCACCACCATGGAGGAAATTTGATCCTTTCCCACACTGGAAGTGCGCGCAGACGGCATCTACGGTCTCTGGATAATTCTTCTGTTTTGTGTTTAAAGGCTCGTTTGTGGCCAGTTCTTTAGGACATGTACTTTTGTATCTCTAGTCCTCGTGAAGAAAAGTTGGATGTCTTTCGTTCACACCTCTTGCATCTGCTCTTCTCTGTGCGATCTTTTGACATGTCGGCATGAGTTAGGCAACCGAACACAGCCCAGCTACCGGCTCCTCGCTCAGAAGTTCAATAGAGCTCTAAGTGGGGGGCGTGTCTGTAAGCAATCGAGAGATGAATCCTCTCTCTCGAGAAAGCGGGAGTGCGCGCGGTCAAAGTAATTGAGTAATAGAGCCGAAATTGAGCTGGTTAATCCGCGCTTCTCGCGCGGCACTTCACAGCTCGATTAGTTATCACTTCGCGCGGCGGCACTTCAAAGAAGCCCTCCTTTTGATGTGATATTGCGGGAATTATAGGATTATTAGACTCTGTGATTACAACTCGGATTAATTTAATTTTACACTCGTTTTAATGGTAACATATTGTGGTAAAAAAGCGCGCCAGGGATTGTTATTAAGTACCGTACTTTATTAGTTATGCTTCTTTATTCGCTAAAATTTTCTATTTTAACACACAACTTGATTTTTAAGCAGTTTTTCGAGTTTTCTCGGTAAATATGAAAATTAAAGAAAAATCCTGACGCGCTATTTTGGTCAATGCAAACTCATAGAAACTACCTGCTATCTATCTTGCCTAACGAACATATCTAACATCTCACCGTTTCCGTTTCTTTGGACCGTGCTTCACATTCGCTCCACGCTTCCTGCGTGAGACACCAGCAGGCACCACAGGTGACCGAGTGTCATTGTCATTGCCATCGCGTGAGCTGGCAGCCAGGGCTGTTCACTCTCGTTGGTGCCCACAACATCAGTCTGGTCACAAGAGACGCCTGCATCTCCGCGCAAATCTTCTACTCTGCCAGGGACACAACTAGTCGTTCTACCTCTTGGCAACAATTGAAAACAATGCGTGTCCACGGCGCGTCGTTACCTTCTCTGGTACTTTCGCCTGGCTACGAGTGTTCGTTCCTGTCACCGGTTGACTATTCCCGTGCTTCTCTATGCCATCTACTTCTGCTGGTTGAGAACCATCACTGCCTTCTGCAGTCACCTGAGGTGAGTCGTCAGTGACCTCTACATCAACCTGGGATGCATCTTCAGTGACCTCTACATCAATTTCGGACGAGTTGTCACTGCCCTCGAACTCCAGCATCTTCGAGACCACGATGGAAGGTCCCTCGACTGAATACTGATCCGTCGCCGCGGCGACCGTCTGCTGATCCCGAGCACACGTCGCCATGGTTACGGGCGGCTGGTGCGGTGGCGTCTATGTGCGGCATGGAAGGCGTGTGAGATGCCCCAGTAGCAGGGGTGTGTTCTTGTAAAGTGTGGTTTGCAGATGGTAGAAATAGTAGTTGTGTTTAGAAATGTCACGACAGTAGTTGCATAATGGGTTAGTCGGCGGCAGCGTGTTTGATGTAGTATGGATGATGGAGATGCGAAACAGTTGAGAGGGAGTTGTTGTGCATGTGGGCAGCAGGTGTGGTTGTCCGGGCGCGCGCGGCTTTCATTGTTAGCTAGAAATGTATAAAAGGAAAAGGTTCTTGGTTGTGAAGGAGGTCGGACGTGAGTGTGCGAGGCATGCGGCTTCGTGCCTCTGTGCGCGCGCATGTGGGTTGAGAAACAATCATACTATTTGCTGAACACAACTGCTTGGACTTTGGCGTTTTCCTTATTCATCGTTTCAACAAATCTACTTTGAACCGGGTAACGTCATCCTCCTCGTTACGTTCTGACGTCACCTCATGCGGCATGCTGGCGGCCATCCTACCGATGAATCGCACGTCCCTCGGTGCTAGAGATTGAGAGATGCAGATTGCTTCTGTAGACCGATTATCGTTAAATATCAGTGCCTATTTTAATGGGTTTTTAATCAACTCGTTATTATAGTTCACGATGAATTGAAGGGTGGAGAGAAAGAGAAAGAGGAGGGGAAGAGAGCGAGAGAGAGGGATGGGAGGGGAGGGGAAAGGGGAGGGAAGTAAGAGGGATATGGAAACGGAGAGAGAGAGAGTTTGTACACATATATGTAACTGGAAATAACATGTAATCTCAGTACCGGTACACGTTATATATGCTTCCTGTAACACCAAGGCAACGTGAGGCCACATATCAACAAATGGTGATGAGTGCTCAGTCAACTTTCTTTGCATGCGCCATCATTACACGATTCGGTGGTGTGTTCGAATTAATCACCATACGGGCAGCAGGTGGCGCTGCAAGCTGGTGCTTTAACTGCAGCAAGGTGGAGTCGAGCTTAGTCCACAGTCGTGCGAGTGGAATGGACGTCGCATCTGTGAAGAGATACACGTAATACTTTAACTAGGTATGCATAAAGGGAGTCCAATGTATAAATGATTAATTTAACATAGGAAATGTGATTAGGTGAAACACAACTTTACAAGTTTTACAAACAATACGTTATTATTCTGCATTTATATAAGAATAAACTTCTATAAGTTTATCAAATTTCATGATAACATTAACAGAAATGCACGTTATTAACTTGTTAGCAACTGATTTGACAACTGTTCAGTTCTATTTTTCAATCTGATATAATAGTGGCCACCAGGTGGCAGTAGTTCCCTAGAGCAAGACTCCCGTTGCTCACTGTGTGTTTATACACGGCTTCAACCTAAATCAGAAACATCATCTTTACTCGGGATATTTTTGTACAGTTTTGGTGAGATGAGATGTCGTAGTCTGTGGACAACGGGACATCATCACCACTAGTGTTTGAAGGTATGACATCATTCATGATGTTGCAGGGCCGTAGTGGCCGCCACGGCAGCACGGCACTGCCGTGGCACTATTTTGAAAAAAAAATTCTGCAGGGAACCAAGGAGCAACATATACCAAGGAGATGAAACTCCGGGGGGGCACTCACCCCAGGCACTCAGACCTGAAAATGGGGGTCTCTGGAACTAATGTTTGTTGAATGTGGTAGGAACTGGCTATGTTCGAAAATGGGGGTCTCCGGAACTGGGATTTCGTTGAAATTCAATGCTATGACACTGGACACGTTTAAAAGAGGGGGTCTCCGGAACTGTGGGGGGAACAGTGATTTGCTTTAAAATCTATGCTGTAGCACTTGAACCAATAATAATTATTGTTGTATTATGTAGAGGAGAAAAAACATGACCCGGAGAGAGATGAACGCACTAAATTCAGCAATCTGCTGGTGCGTGGATATGATTCTGACAAGCAGATTCCTCTGCCTACCGCCTACTCAAGATAATTCATCCCTGTAGACGAGTCCCACATTCCTACGCCAGAGACGGCTAGACAGTGGCCACATCTTAGAGGAATCGCTCATTGTATCCATCCACTTCAGGACTGTGAAGTTGGGCTGCTAATCGGATGTAACTGTCCATTAGCACTGGCTCCTAGAAACTATCATAGGCGAAGACAGTCAGCCCTATGCCGTAGAAACATAGCTGGGCTGGAGTATCGTGGGCTGCACCGAAGAGCAAGATGACTCTGGTGATGATGTGGGAACAACTCACAGAGTTGTAATCACACATGTGCCACTTAACCTGCAGCACCACCCGACAGAACTGCAGTTCGCCTGCAGGACAACAATCAAAGCACCAGATATCCTGCAAGGAAGAAACCATCAAAGCACCAGATATCCTGAGGTTACTAAAAACAAATTTTTCAGAAAGAGAGATAAGTGAAAGGTCTGTATCCCAAGACGACATTCACTTTTTAAAAACTTTGAAGAGTGGCATCAAGCAACAGCCGGATGGCCACTACACAATGCCATTACCTTTTAAGAAAGGGAAACCAGCGTTGCCCAACAACAGATTTGTCGCAACACAACGACTGGAGAGTCTCAAACGTAGATTCCGACACGACAGAACATACTTTGAGAGCTACAAAACCTTCATGAACGACATGATAGAGAAAGGGGAGGCAGAAAGAGTTCCGGAACATGAGGTGACACAAGGTCCAACAGTTTGGTACATTCCGCATCATGGAGTGTACCGTCCTAGTTGTCTTCGACTGCAGCGCCAAGTTTAAGGGCACCTCTCTAAACGATTACCTTCTGCAAGGACCGGACCTGATACATCCCTTGATAGGATTGTTGTGTCGCTTCAGACAAGAGACGGTCGCCATCATGTGCGACATCGAGAAGATGTTCCACCAGTTTAGAGTGGACAGCGACGATAGAGACTACATCAGATTTCTGTGGTGGGACAAGGGCAACATAGAATTATAACCAGTCGACTTCCGCATAAAGGTACACCTTTTTGGAGCTGTATCTTCACCCGGCTGCGCCAATTATGGTCTGACCCAAGTAGCCAGTGATTACCGACATTCCAGCACAGACGCATACAAGTTTGTGTCAAACGACTTCTATGTCGATGATGGATTGACCAGCATTGACACGCCTGGCAATGCCATCAAGCTGGTACAAGATGCACGTGAAATGTGTGCAAAGGGCCATTTACGTCTACACAAGTTTGCCTCAAACAGTCGGGAGGTCATGGATTCGATACCAAGTTTCGAGCGTGCTGCAGAGATCAGAGACCTGGATCTTGACTTCGAAAGGCTACCAATAGAGAGGGCACTTGGCATACAATGGTGCATCGAGTTTGACCAGTTCCAGTTCAGGCTTACATTGAGGGATCAACCGTTGACTTGGAGAGGAATTCTCTCATCTGTATCTTCAGTGTAAGACCCAGTGGGATTCATTGCACCTTTCATTCTACAAGGCAAGCAGATCCTACAACAGATGTGTCAAGAAAAGGCAGATTGGGATGAACCTATGTCCGATGAACTACGTCCCAAATGGGAACGTTGGAGACAAGATCTCCCTGAATTGGCAGCAATCAAAATCCCTAGATGTTTTAAACGCAAGGATTTTGGTACCCCAAAGCAGATAGAGCTGCACCATTTCTCCGACGCCAGCCAGAGAAGCTATGGACAATGTTCATACGTCCGACTTGTGAATGACAGAGACCAAGTACACTGTTCCCTTATAATGGGAAAAGCACGAGTGACACCTTTGAGAGTCGTCACTATACCCAGATTAGAGGTGGTTTTTGGGTACGTCAACAGAGATGCAAAGCGCTTCCACATTTTTGTGTCCAATCGTGTCCAGAAGATACGAGAATCGTCGGAACCAGAACAGTGGCGTTACGTGGACACTCAAGAAAATCCAGCGGATCATGCCTCTAGAGGATTGCGAGCTGGGCATATCATGTCATCCAACTGGTTCACTGGACCAGCCTTCTTGTGGGAAAAGGATCTTCCTACTGGAAACAGCAGAACACCAGATTTACCAGTTGATGACCCAGAAATAAAGACAAAACACGTACACAACGCCACGTCATTAGAGACTACTTCGATCCTCGAACAATTAGAACGTTTTTCATCGTGGACGAAGGCCGTCAAGGTCGTTGCAGTGTTACAGAATTGGAGCAGAAAGGCTGGACACTCTGTTGAAAAGGACCAACATCATGCTCGACAGTCGATAGTGCAAATGGTTCAACGCGAAGCTTTCGCCACAGAGATAGAGTCACTTCAGAGACGAACTGAAAATGACACTTTATCCAAGGTCAGACAGCAGAGCAGCCTGTATAAGCTTGATCCGTTCATAGATGATCAAGGGATATTAAGAGTAGGTGGAAGACTGAAGCGATCATCCCTTCTGTATGGTATGAAACATCCAATGATCCTTCCAAAAAAGAGTCACTTTGAAATCCAATATGGCCGCCATCCTGTTTTTCTAAGTGTCATAATTGGGTTTTCCACTATCGAAAATGTGGGTATAGCCACCAACATTATGTCTCTACGACGTCTGGGAGTCCAGATATTTCAGAAAATCCATTTCGCTGGCGGTCATTTTGGATTTCAAGATGGCCGCCACAATACGCAAAATTCAGCCTGGAAACATACCCAGTAAAACTCCCCGAGTATCATAGAAATGATATTTACCCGTTCTCAGCCTCTACCCAAAAAGTTTAGGCTCATCCTTATTTTGGATATCTGCCCCCTGACTATACTACTTTCAATGAGATTTCGCAGTTGCGCCTGCTTTGTTTTCACCGACTGGAAATTGATGTTTAGAATTCTCAGAGGCTTTCTGGATGAGGGGCGTCCCTGATTTGCCCTGAGTGGAGTTGATACGTGCACTGGTTTTATACGAGTTGGTGTTGATCCAAAAGAGGTGTCGGACAGCCTGGAATCACTCCCTGACAGCACACTGTATTTATTTGATGTGGTGACGATCAGGTCAAAGCATTGTGTTGTATAATTCGGACAGTTGCAGACAATACAGTCCCAAGCCACAGCACTGCCCGCTAGGTCGCTGTAGGACCTGGTATGAACATCTTGGCAGTTGGCATGATACCACTGATTACACGTATCACAGACTATGCCTCGGTCATTCCACGTAACTGGTTTGTCGCAGGTTCCACACGGATATATAGTAGACTCATCCCTCTCTGGCCCAGGGTTTGGATTTATGTCATTTGACAGGGCAATAAGAACAACAGTGAGCAAGAAAAGTACTTTGCCCTTCTTGGTAACTACACACTGCTTAGTCACCACAGGTCTCCCCTGGTTTCTCCAGTTATACATACTGAGCAAAGTACTTGAGTATCTGAGATTACCGGTGGATAATCTACATGTTATAGTGCTGATGTTTTCCACTCTAGGATAATGACTTGGGAACAGATGGCACACAAATGAGAGTAAACAAATCAATACAGACAACATAAACATGTCGCCGATCAGACCAAGAGTGTGTTTATGATATAGAAAATCGGCTATGTTGCCTCTTCATCCAGTTGAGCAACATCATTTTGTAGCTCCATCACGGCAGAACAAACTTACCAACTAATTTAGTGACAACTAAATTGGTACTGAACACAATATCTATCCACAAAACAGTAATTTTTTCAAATTTGTTGGAGAGGACAAGAAAAAACAACAGACTTATCCGGATACTTATGGCATGTGCATAGATAGATTCCAACCCACACTAGAAACAGCAGATTTGTTCAGATGAGATATCACTTTTATATATTTATTTTTGGTGCAGTCGGACGCCATAAACATTTACTGTACTGTTCTATACTCAAAGTTGTTCTTTCTAGTCTTACCTTAACTAGTCCTCGTACCAGCAACCTCCCCGGTGACACACAGTGACAGGAAAGTTGGCTGTGTTAGTTTGACAGCGAAAAGTTCACAACACACACACTGTGCACACGCTACGTTGTTACACGAAAGCTTGTCTGTTGTTGAACAAAGGGGTTGAAAATAGGCGGGAAAATTTCACCTGTGATTTCCAGTTTACTAAATAATAATATGAAGTAATAATTTGGTATGGCAATTATTTTACCTATAGAGGAGCTAAGTAGTTACATATATTAGTATACAATAATTTAAGAACTAATTTCCACTCAGCCTAATGAGTAATGACGAATCCTGGACTGAAGGGCAGGAGCCGAATAAAACACGTTCACTCTCCACCGAGTCTCAACTAGTTCTCCTATTATTCGGGGTTATCTTACATAATACAAGATTTTACACTAATGGAAATTACTATCCGGTTGATTAAATGGAAGTTTCAAATTGTGACTAGTTCAAAAATATAGTAAATTTGCAGCTAATTGTCTCTTAACATCTAGGACTAATTTTCTATAATTAAATCAAAAGGAGTGGAACGGTCACTGGAAAGCTGGTAAAGTGTATCCGCTATCACATAAATGAAACACACGAGATTATAGTCTAAAATGAATGCACCACGGAAAAGACTAAAGAGATGTATTTCCTTAGAAACTAAAACAGTGAAACAAACAACAATCTTAAATACATTTGTAGCAGCCGCTACACTCCCACCCAAAATCTCGGTAGATTTTCTCAGATTTTCTCAAGTGATACTCTTCCTATAAAGGGTCACACATGAGACATGCCAACATAACTATGTTTCATCGCTCCGTGAACTCGCTCTCATCCATTAACCTATATATATTTAGGTTTGGGAAACACAGATTGAAACACTCTATTTGTCCTTTTCTGAATTTTCTACAAGTAGAATCAGTTTGTGGATTGGTCTCTCTAGAAAGGTTGCGTTGGTACGGCGTTTGCCTTGCGTGGTCAGTTTAGGGTCGCCAATCAGCAGTCTAACCCTGCGCACGAGACCATCACTGTCGATCATTGTATAATCAACTCTAGCCAACCTCCATTAGCCGCGAGCCATATCTTGATCTCGGAGAATGACAATATCCCCTTTGCTGATGTTTCTGCGCTTTGACTGCCATTTTTGGCGAGTTTGAAGACTTTGGAGATACTCTTTCTTCCATCTCAGCCAAAACTCATTGGCCAAGTGCTGAACCTTTCGCCATCTTTTCCTTGCGTAAAGATCCTCTCTGACGAAGTTTCCAGGTGGTGGTGTGACAACTCCAGATTTCATAGTGAGTAGGTGGTTTGCTGTGATTTGTGCTGGCTCACGTGGATCGTTTGGATGTTTAACAGCAATGGGTCTGCTATTCACAATTGCCATCGCTTCGAACATAAATGTTCGGAGGGAGGATGTGTCCAACCGACCGCCAGCTTGATCTAAGATGCCAGTGAGAACACTTCGAATTGTTCGAATTTGTCTCTCCCAGACACCTCCCATGTGACTTGAAGAAGGGGAGTTCATGACAAAATCACAATGTTGCTCCAGCATCTTTCCTTTGATTCGTTTGGCATCGACCTCTTTCAGCGCCAGTTTTAGCTCATGTTTGGCACCTACAAAATTTGTGCCCCGATCACATCTGATCTCGCGGACTTGACCTCGTATTGCTATGAAGCAGCGGAGGGCATTCAGGAAACAATCGGTAGACATATCGTCCAAGAGCTCGATGTGTACAGCTCTCATTGCCATACACGTGAACAGCAGTCCATATTTCTTCAGTTCTCTGCGACCCTCCTTCACATAGAATGGCCCGAAACAATCCATTCCACAATAAGTGAATGGCGGCGAGGGCTCTAGCCTCTCTTGTGGCAAGTCTGCCATCTTTTGCGTTTGAGCAGTGTCTCTGTGACGGCGGCATTTAACACATTTGAAAATGTGTGACGATACCGCTGAGCTGCAACTAACGATCCAGTATCCACTGGTTTGCAGCTCATTGATGGTTAGACTTCTACCTTGGTGGGCCACCTTCTCGTGGTAGTGTTTAATGATCAACTTTGTGATGTGACTCTTTTTTGGAAGGATCATTGGATGTTTCATACCATACAGAAGGGATGATCGCTTCAGTCTTCCACCTACTCTTAATATCCCTTGATCATCTATGAACGGATCAAGCTTATACAGGCTGCTCTGCTGTGTGACCTTGGATGAAGTGTCATTTTCAGTTCGTCTCTGAAGTGACTCTATCTCTGTGGCGAAAGCTTCGCGTTGAACCATTTGCACTATCGACTGTCGAGCATGATGTTGGTCCTTTTCAATAGAGTGTCCAGCCTTTCTGCTCCAATTCAGTAACACTGCAACGACCTTGACGGCCTTCGTCCACGACGAAAAACGTTCTAATTGTTCGAGGATCGAAGTAGTCTCTAATGACGTGGCGTTGTGTACGTGTTTTGTCTTTATTTCTGGGTCATCAACTGGTAAATCTGGTGTTCTGCTGTTTCCAGTAGGAAGATCCTTTTCCCACAAGAAGGCTGGTCCAGTGAACCAGTTGGATGACATGATATGCCCAGCTCGCAATCCTCTAGAGGCATGATCCGCTGGATTTTCTTGAGTGTCCACGTAACGCCACTGTTCTGGTTCCGACGATTCTCGTATCTTCTGGACACGATTGGACACAAAAATGTGGAAGCGCTTTGCATCTCTGTTGACGTACCCAAAAACCACCTCTAATCTGGGTATAGTGACGACTCTCAAAGGTGTCACTCGTGCTTTTCCCATTATAAGGGAACAGTGTACTTGGTCTCTGTCATTCACAAGTCGGACGTATGAACATTGTCCATAGCTTCTCTGGCTGGCGTCGGAGAAATGGTGCAGCTCTATCTGCTTTGGGGTACCAAAATCCTTGCGTTTAAAACATCTAGGGATTTTGATTGCTGCCAATTCAGGGAGATCTTGTCTCCAACGTTCCCATTTGGGACGTAGTTCATCGGACATAGGTTCATCCCAATCTGCCTTTTCTTGACACATCTGTTGTAGGATCTGCTTGCCTTGTAGAATGAAAGGTGCAATGAATCCCACTGGGTCTTACACTGAAGATACAGATGAGAGAATTCCTCTCCAAGTCAACGGTTGATCCCTCAATGTAAGCCTGAACTGGAACTGGTCAAACTCGATGCACCATTGTATGCCAAGTGCCCTCTCTATTGGTAGCCTTTCGAAGTCAAGATCCAGGTCTCTGATCTCTGCAGCACGCTCGAAACTTGGTATCGAATCCATGACCTCCCGACTGTTTGAGGCAAACTTGTGTAGACGTAAATGGCCCTTTGCACACATTTCACGTGCATCTTGTACCAGCTTGATGGCATTGCCAGGCGTGTCAATGCTGGTCAATCCATCATCGACATAGAAGTCGTTTGACACAAACTTGTATGCGTCTGTGCTGGAATGTCGGTAATCACTGGCTACTTGGGTTAAACCATAATTGGCGCACCCGGGTGAAGATACAGCTCCAAAAAGGTGTACCTTCATGCGGAAGTCGACTGGTTTTAATTCTATGTTGCCCTCGTCCCACCACAGAAATCTGATGTAGTCTCTATCGTCGCTGTCTACTCTAAACTGGTGGAACATCTTCTCGATGTCGCACATGATGGCGACCGTCTCTTGTCTGAAGCGACACAACACTCCTATCAAGGGATGTATCAGGTCAGGTCCTTGCAGAAGGTGATCGTTTAGAGAGGTGCCCTTAAACTTGGCGCTGCAGTCGAAGACAACTCTGATCTTGTTCGGCATTTTAGGATGGTACACTCCATGATGCGGAATGTACCAAACCGTTTGACCTTGTGTCACCTCCTCTTTCGGTCTCCCTTTTCTCTATCATGTCGTGGTCTTGTAGCTCTCAAAGTATGTTCTGTCATGTCGGAATCTACGTTTGAGACCCTCCAGTCGTCGTGTTGCGACAAATCTGTTGTTGGGCAACGCTGGTTTCCCTTTCTTAAAAGGTAATGGCATTGTGTAGTGGCCATCCGGCTGCTGCTTGATGCCACTCTTCAAAGTTTTTAAAAAGTGAATGTCGTCTTGGGATACAGTTCTTTCACTTATCTCTCTTTCTGAAAAATCCGTTTCTAGTAACCTCAGGATATCTGGTGCTTTGATGGTTTCTTCCTTGATTGTTGTCCTGCAGGCGAACTGCAGTTCTGTCGGGTGGTGCTGCAGGTTACGTGGCACATGTGTGATTACAACTCTGTGAGTCGTTCCCACCGCATCACCAGAGTCATCTTGCTGTTCGGTGCAGCCCACGATACTCCAGCCCAGCTCTGTTTCTACGGCATAGGGCTGACTGTCTTCGCCTATGATAGAGTTTCTAGGAGCCAGAGCTAATGAACAGTTACATCCGATTAGCAGCCCAACTTCACAGTCCCGAAGTGGATGGATACGATGAGCGATTCTTCTAAGATGTGGCCACTGTCTAGCCGTCTCTGGCGTAGGAATGTGGGACTCATCTACAGAGATGAATTCTCTTGAGTAGGCGGTAGGCAGAGGAATCTGCTTGTCAGAATCATATCCACGCACCAGCAGATTGTTGAATTTTCTGCAGTGGATAACCTTGTCCATTGCTGTCATGGTCGAGAGTTTCAACTTGGCAGGCTCTGACAAGGTGTTAACTTTCTCACAAGTGTGGCTTAGTACGAATGTTGTATCAGACTGCGTATCTAACAGAGCATAAACTAGGTGCTCAGAACTGGGCTCCTCTTTACTCGAGACCCAAACCGGCACCACCATGGAGGAAATTTGATCCTTTCCCACACTGGAAGTGCCGCCGCAGACGGCATCTACGGTCTCTGGGTGATTCTTCTGTTTTGTGTTTAAAGACTCGTTTGTGGCCAGTTCTTTAGGACATGTACTTTTGTATCTCTGGTCCTCGTGAAGACAGGTTGGATGTCTTCGTTCACACCTCTTGCATCTGCTTTTCTCTGGGCAATCTTTTGACATGTGGCCATGAGTTAGGCAACCGAAACACAGCCCATGTTTTTTAATGAAGTCCTGCTTCTCTTTAGGTGCTCTTGCAGAGAAAGTCCTACAGTCATTAAGTGTATGACTGTCTCTTTTGCACAGAGTGCAGTACTGCTTTGGAACTCTCTGTTTTTTCTCTTCCTTTCCTGTTTCTGTAGCAAGGGTGTTGGCGGCAGGATGTCGAAGACTGGAACTTCTAGAACTGGTAAATCTATCGCTTCTCTTCTCTGAAGTCCCTCTCAGAGCACCAAAAGAGACAACTGGGTCGCACGCTGCTTCAGCCTCTTCAGCCATGAATTTACAGAAGGCACTGAAGGTGGGGTAAGTGCCACTTGATTTTCTCTCCTTGATGACCAGTCGGCCCCACCTAGTGACGATCCAGTCCGGCAAATTCTGAAGAAGCTTTCGATTTTCTCTGTTGTCATTTAGTATGTTGAGACCCTCTATGTCGTCCATTGCTACTTCACACTGCAGAAGGAAATCCGAAAGTTTCCGGAGTCCTTTGCTGTCTCTTGGCTGAATATTTTGCCAGGAGTCTAGTCTGTTTCGGAAAGCTTCAGTAATGGCAAATGGGCTGCCGTATCTCTCTTCTAAAATAGCTTTTGCCCTATCAAAGGCATTCTATCAAAAGCAAGGTATCTTTTAAGATAATGAATCTTCTCCTGAGAGGGGATTCCCCTGCCTTCAATTAAAGCAGAGAACGATGCCACCCAGTCAGGGTATCCCAGGGGATCTCCATGAAATACAGATGGCTCTGGGACAGGTAATCGACCTAAGCATACAGTGGCTGACAGAGCTTTAGCAAGCATGGCCATGTCACTTTTAGGCACCTGCTGCTGCCATTCTTTAACCTCTGGGTTCAGTGGGTGCTGCGCTCTCTGCGTAGTGCGATGATCTTCAGCACCTGGAACATGGCCTGCATTGCTGAGTGGCTCCGAAGTGGCTAACGCATTGGGAAACACTTCTCTCTTTATGAGGGCAGGTGGGACGTGAACCTGCTCTTCTCTTGTGGGGGCAAGCTGAAAGTATACCTGTTCTTCTCTCTTAAAGAACTGAGACAGTCCTTGTGGTTGTTGTTGTTGTTGTTGTTGTTGTTGTTGTTGTTGTTGCTGTTGTTGTTGTTGTTGTTGTTGTTGTTGTTGTTGTTGTTGTTGTTGTGGTTGTTGTTCATCATAAGCAGTTAGTTTCGCCTTTTCGATGCGCAGCTGCTGTTCGATTTCATCTCTTCTAATCTCTCGTCGTTTTTTCTCTATGTCTGCGGCTGCCCTTGCGCGCAATACATGTTTATTTGCCTCTCTATAGGCATGCTCTGCAGTTAGTTGCGCTTCTTGTTCCGCACGCCTACTAGCTTCTTCAAGCTCCAATTTTTGGAGCTCTTCTTCTTTTCGGGAAACTTGTCTCTGTGAATCCAGCTCTGCTTGTAGAGCAGCAGCATTAGCAGCCGCTAATCTTCTTTTTGAAGAGGTGCTAGAGCCAAACGAATGGTGCGAAATTGATTTCCGTCCAGTTTGCAGCTGACCATAACTCGCTATTTGGCTCTGAATTCTAACAATGAGCATGTCTGCCTCCGCACACACTCTATCTAAAGTTTGTCTAGAGTCAGGCGGTGGTGTACAGAAATTACGCAGATCATCATATTCCTTGTTGAGTTTTTGGTGCCCATCTTCTACAATGTCTATCATATTAGCTAGATCCTCTCTAGAACATACCTCTTCCATTTCTCTATGAAAGTCCTTTATGCGGTCAGCCAATATATTACATGCACGCCGGAAACCTTTTACGAAAGCTTCTTCTTTGTTTTGTTTAGCCTTTGCTGTCAACTTAGGCTCCCGCTCAGATCTTCTGAGATCTGATGACGCGCTAACCTCTGCGTGCGATTCTGCAGGCATTTCCACAACCTGACTCTCAACATTGTCGACATTTTTGGTGATCACGTTTGCCTGATCGATGTGATTATCATGTTCCGACAACTTACCTGTATCATCATTTGTGACTGAAGGTGTACTACCCATTTGAGACATGTTTCGGAAGTAATGGGGTTAGCACGTTAGAGAATTCAATGGCACCATGAACATCAAACGTACATACAAGTCATGTAGTTACTTGTGCACAAAGCTACAGAGATAGTGATATACACAGTTAATAATTACCCTGACGACAGTAGGTAACAACAATAAAGTGTCCGCAATAATGTAATGCTAACAGTGCTGATATTGCCTACCGGTTTAATAATCAGTGTAATGGTGGTACATGATATGCTCAAGTCAAACAATTAACTCATATGCATGCACATAAGGAAACAATCAGTCTTATTGTAAATCTGTATACAGTATACAGATATGTATACAGTCCGCTCTGGTTCTGTTACACTTTATTCTACGATGGCATGCATCTATGGCTGATGATCCAGTCCAGTCCTACTTCTGCTGTGCACTGATTGTAGTCCAGTCCAGCTTCTGCTGTGCACTGATTTTAGTCCAGTCCAGGTCTCGTTACTGTGTTACCAGTCCATGTCCGGAATCTATCCCCACATGGCAATTGTTGAGTATAGAATGGCACATGTCCTTGATTGACTACAAGCTGGATCAGATCTGGGGGTCAGCACTGGCTCTCGCACTGGGACGTTCAATGGCTGGGGTGTCACATTGCAGCGAAGTTTCCGTGCAGGCTGGGTTTCCACTCGAAATCAAGCACTCGAGTTTTTACTGTAGCCGCAGTCACCCAAACAATGCTATAACAACGTGGTTCTTTTGATACTGGCAATGTACAGTTTTATTCTTGTCATACACTGTCGTAAAAACTGAAACCAAAAATACAAATCTGTTTCACAACTCTTGGAACAATATGATAGACGGGGCAAGTAGAGATACAGTATACAAATACGTACGGTATATCAAAACAAAACAATGGCTAACAGTAACAGTCTATTACACGATACTGCTAATTACGAGTACTATGACAATATTCATGTTCTATATTCAAATTATGCATATATGTGTGCAATTAACCTGAAATGATTACCTCGTTGGCGCACTTGGGGACCTGGTAGTTATCTCTAAATATTCTTTAGATTGTATGGATTTCTAAATCTCTTTGTTCTCTCCACGTTAGAAAACTAGTCCACGGCGCAGTAATGTTTTAGTCAGCTTATTTATTATTCGGGGTTATCTTACATAATACAAGATTTTACACTAATGGAAATTACTATCCGGTTGATTAAATGGAAGTTTCAAATTGTGACTAGTTCAAAAATATTGTAAATTTGCAGCTAATTGCCTCTTAACATCTAGTACTAATTTTCTCCAATTAAACGTCACTGGAAATCTGGTAAAGTGTATCCGCTATCACATAAATGAAACACATGAGATTATAGTCTAAAATGAATGCACCACAGAAAAGACTAAAGTGCTGCAATTTCCTTAGAAACTAAAACATTGAAACAAACAACAATCTTAAATACATTTGTAGCAGCCGCTACAATTATCTTCAAAACAAAGGCCCAAGATATACCTGGTATGATTATGATGATTGACTTTGAAAAAGCTTTTGATACTGTATCATGGGACTTTATTCAAAAGATGTTGGACATTTTTAACTTTGGAGAATCAATCAAAAAGTGGGTCAAATTGTTCCAAAACAATTCGGAGTCTAGTATAATTTTAAATGATCACTTCTCCACTGCATTTAGTTTAGAAAGGGGTTGCAGGCAGGGAGATCCAATTTCACCATATATATTTATTCTATGTGCAGAAATTTTGGACTCAGCAATCAGACAAAACAAACAACTTAAAGGTATAAACTTGTGGGGAGAAGAATATAAAATTGCTCAATATGCTGATGACATATCTATTGCTGGATGGTAGTGAACAGTCTATGAAAGAAGCATCTTGGACTGGTTTTATCAAATATCTGGATTAAAGGCAAATAATATTATAGAAAAAGCTAAAATATTATGGATAGGATCTATGAAGGACGACGAAGGACTCTGATCGGAGATTCTGCAGGGAAAATTGTCCTGAGTGGATTATAGATGGCAAATTTACAGCCCTCGGTGTTAGGTTTAATACTGATCTAAATAAAATGATCACTGAAAATCTGCTTCCACAAATAAACTCTATGAAATCTTTACTAGATGCCTGAAAATATAGAAACCTTACACCCCTGGGTAAAATCACGGTAATTAAATCTCTAACATTACCAATTATTACACATCTGTTAACAATACTACCTGACCCTGATCAAACAATAATAAAAGAAATAGAAGATATGTTTTTCTGTTTTATATGGAATAAACCAAGGGGTAAAGTAAAAAAAGTATTTTGAAAAAAGAATATAGTGAAGGCGGACTGAAGATGATTGATTTAAAATGTTATGTAAAAGGTCTTAAACTTTCATGGATAAAACGATTTCTGACAAAATCAGGTAAATGGACAAAATTAAAAAAAATAATATATCAGATACTTCGTTTGAAAGTGGTGCAAACCAAATAAACAAAATTGATAATCCATTTTGGAATGATGTCGCAAATGTTTGGTCAGAATACAACATCATTATCGACCCGCAAAATATTCATGAAATACTTACTGAACCAATCTGGAACAATAAGCATATAAAGATAGACTACATCAAATCTTGGCACAAACAAGGTATAATATATATTAAAAATCTATTGAATGACAGGGGTCAGCTCATGTCACTCGACCAGCTAAAACTAAAATATAACATACAAGCTACTTTTATTGACATATTCCGATTACACCAAGCAATACCACGTGAATGGAGGTATCAAATTAAATATGAGGTTACCCATGTACATGTAGCTGCAGGTCCATCAAGAACCCCGGCAATCTATTCCTTATACAAGGCGCCTAAAGGCTGTATACAGTTCTATAAGATATTCAATAATAATTCAAATAATATTACACATATTATTAGCCGAGATAAATGGTGCAGAGATATAAATATTGCCTTGAATACTGAATAATGGAAACATTTCTATCTATTGCCATTCCAAACCTCCATCGATACCAACCTGAGATACTTCCAATACAGAGTCCCTCATAGAATCCTTACTATAAATCACTTCTTATTTATCATAATGATCGTAGATGATGATCTATGTTCCTTTTGTAAAAGTGCAAGTGAATCACTTGTCCATTTATTTACAGAGTGTTCTTGTGTAAATGATGTTTGAATAGAACTGCATGCTTGGTTGGTTAGAAATGGTTTTACACAATTACAGAGGTTTACAAACACCGACATTATCCTCGGTGTTTTGAATA